CTTTGTAGGCTAGATTAGCCTCAAATTCTGGATTCTCCTGACTCAGCCTCCCAGGTGCTTCGAGAACAAGCTTCTCTTTGAAATTCTATTAGACATTTACGGAAGAAATAACGTAAATGCTGTTTCTTTCTTTGTTTGTTTCTGTTGTTTGGTGGTGGTTTTTGTTTTGAGACAGGTTCTCACTGTGTAGCCCTGGCTAACTTGGAACTTATTACGTAGGTAGACCAGGCTGCCCTTGAACTCAAAGAGATCTGCCTGCCTCTGCCTCCCAAATACTGGGATTAAATGTGTGCACCACCACACCCAGCCCCTATTTTTTGTATTTGTAACTTTTTATTTTGATCCAGTTTCAAACCTAGAAACCATAAGTAGTTACTTTTTTTTTTACCACTTTGACCATACCCAACAGAAGCAACTCAAGGGAGAAGTTTGCTTTGGCTTATGGTTTTAAAGGGTACATACATTCATCAGGTTGGCAAAGTCATGATGGAATTCATACCAGTGTGAGCATGTGGCTGTTCCTTACATCCTAGTGGATCAGGAAACAGCTGGAGCTGGAACTGGAAACATACAATTTCAAAGGCCCACCCAACAACTCATTTCTGCTAAACCACAGGTCCAAAGTCCTATAATCTCCCAAAACAGCTCCACCATGCAGGGACAAAGCATTCAAACATATGAGCCTGTAGGGATACTTTATGTTTAACGCAATAGAAATAACTGTTAGCTAACCCTTATTGAATACAACTTAAAAGGCCCAGTATGAGAATGCCTCTTAGTGGCTTTTTTTAGGCCACCAACCAGCTCCCAAACCAACATGGAGACTTATTATTCTCAATGCTTGGCCTTATCTTAGGTTTGTATCTTGCTAGCTCTTATAACTTAACCTGTTTCTCTTCGTCTATGTTTTGCCTCAGTCTTTGTACCTTCCTCCCTCCCTCTCCCTCTCTCTCTCTTTCTCTCTCTCTCTGCCCCTTTCTGCCTTTTCTTTCTTCTCCCTTCCTTTCTCTCTCTCTCTCTCATTTTTTCTTTCTTTCTGTCTGCCTGTCTGTCCTACTTTGCTTATTGTGGCTGGCTACCTAGCTTCTGGCCCAGGGTGTATCCCTCTCTTTCTCCCTTGATCTCTTCTCTCATTTTTCTCCCTTGAGCCTAGATTTCTCCTCCTATTTATTCTCTCTGCCCACCAGCCCCACTTATCCCTCTCCTGCCTAGCTATTGGTCATTCAGCTCTTATTAGACCTGTCAGGTGCCTTAGGGCAGGCAAGGTGAAACAGCAACACATCTTACATAATTAAACAAATGTCACACATCTTTACCTTGTTGACAAAGGCAGCAGAAACAAATGTAACACACTGCCACATAACTAAAGTAATATTCTACAGCATAAACAAATATGACACATCTTTGCTAAGTTAAAATAATATTCCACAACACTTATTTTTAATAGAAAAATGTAGCTTCATTGTAGACATATGAATCATTATAGTAGTGTTCTGCTTATCCAAAGGAGATCTATTCCAAGAATTCCAGAGAATACTCAAAACTATGGACATGCCATGTTTTTCCTTACACATACCACCTGTGATTAAAACATTAGCATGTAAATTAACCAAGTCAAAAATTAGCAGTAATAATAGGATGAGATAGATATAACTATGTATTTTAGTAAAAGTTATATGAATATATTCTGTCACTCAAGTACATTCTCTTTTCATATAAAGAAATCACCTTAAAGCTCTTTGATGTTCAAATTGCCAGCTCACTGCTCTTGTTGCCCTTAGGGTTACTGGAACATATACACCGTGATACCAGGTATCTTAGTTAGGGTTCTATTGATATAATAATCATGACCAAAAGCAACTTGGGGAGGAAGGGGTTTGTTTGACTTACATGTCCTGGTACACAGTTCATTGAGAGAAGCCAAGATAGGAACTGAAGCAAAGGCCATAAAAGAACATTGCTTACTGGCTTGCTCCATGCCTTGCTCAGCCTGCTTTCTTATACCATCAGGACCACTTCCCAGGAGTGGTACTACCCACATGGGCTGGGCCCTCCTACACCAATCATTAATCAAGAAAATGCCCTACAAATTTGCCTATAGACCAATCTGTTAGGAACATTTTTTCATTTAAGAATCCCTCTTTCAGGTAGTGGTGACACACATCTTTAATCCCAGCACTTGAGAGACAGAGGAAGGTGGATTGCTGTGAGTTTGAGGCCAGCCTGGTCTACAGAGATGGTTCCAGGACAGCCAGGGCTACACAGAAAACCCTATCTTGAAAAACCAAAAATGATTGATTGATTGATTGATTGATTGATTCCCCTTTCCAGACATGTCTAGGTTTGTGTCAAGTTGATAAAAACCAACCAGGGCACCAAGGTGATTAGTAGGCAGGAGGCTGCACATGTGTACATAAGACAAAAGGAGATATGAACAGGGACAGAGCTGGAGAATATAATGGACCATCACCACTTCGATCAGCCTGAAATTTCAAATTTCCAAATGATTTATCTCTAAAATCTCCATTGGACATTTATCCACCTGAATATTATTGTCCGAAGATTCAGATGGCAGGGAACTCAAATGCAGAAACTGAAGCTACAGATAGGGAGGGCAGCTGCATTTAGTTTTCAGTGTTGCTGCTGCTGCTACTTAAATTGCAACCAAAGTTTCTTCTACACCCCCTTCTCTAATAGCAGTACCTCCAATAATTCCACATTCACAACAGCTTTGAAGAGAATATTCTTTATGACAACAAAGATGTGAGGCCTACAAGGCTCTGTATTTCTTTGTTTAATGTAGCAGTTTTAGATTCTCTTCCAGTATATTACTATCCTTCCAGTATAAGTAGTTACTCCATGTTTAAGGTACTGAGAACATATGACTCTCTCTCTCTCTCTCTCTCTCTCTCTCTGTGTGTGTGTGTGTGTGTGTGTGTGTGTGTGTGTGTGTGTGTGTATCTGTCTGTCTTTCTGCATGTATATGAATGTGTACAGGTCTTGTGTGTGTGCCCATAGAGGACAGAAGCATGGGATCCCTGGGAGTTGGGATTGAAGGCAGTTGTGAGTTTTCTGATATGGGTGCTAGGAACTGAACGTGGGTCCTCTGGAAGAACGGTAAATGATCTGAACTCCTGAGGCATCTCTCCAGCCCCGTGTTTGACTTTTTTAGCTCTCCAGATAATTCTGATTTACAGTCAGAGTTACTAGTGCTGCGGCTATAAAATTGTGTTATTAACCCCTACACAGTGCCTAGTGTGGCTCCTATTAAGAAATTACTTGGTTTTCTTTAAGGCATTCCCATGGATAGAGATTATTTTGAACTAAAAATTTAAGTGGTATTTCAGTAACTACATCATTTTACTGTGTTTCACTGAGTTAACCTTATTCATGTTTATTGGACTTTCATTGTCTCTTAACAAAATATTAAGTATAGGCTGGAGGTGTGGTTCAGTATTAGAGGATCCCCTAAGTTCTGTTCCCATCATGCAAAAAAATTCAACCTTTTTATGAAGTTCATCTATTTTTCCTTTGGTCTTCTTTTCACACAGGCCAGTCAGTGGGAGGAGCTTTCTCCAGTGCAAAGACAGCTATGTCCTCATGGCTCTCTACCTTCACCACCTCTAGCCCTCAGAGTCTGCCTGAGCCACCCAGCGGGAAGCCCTGAGTCCAGCAGAGAAGCCGCTTTGTTCTCCAAGGTGTAATGCTCCCTCCCCATCTGCTGCTCCCAGGGTCTCCTCTATCTACAGGTCCAGACCCAGGGACCAAGATGACGAACTGTTTACATGGACGGTTGCACTCTGTCTAAATGAATGTTGCAGGATGCTGAACAGATGAAATCACAACCATAGAAGGAATAGCTTTCCAGGTTGGGGGTTAAATTGACTACTTTGACTTCATTCTGAGCCTAATTAATGTACACAATGAACCTTCTAGTGAATTTTAAGTTTGAGATTGTACATTTGTTTACTTAGAATTTTTACATATGTATATTTTGTTCTATTTGCTGTTTAAATATTTAGATGGTCATTGTAATTTATATTGACTCAAATTAAGTTATATCACTATTTTACTTTCTCTGAAGTTAGCCCTAAAATGTACTTGTAAAGTGTAAGGACTATGCATTCCAGCCTATTTTTACTTTGCTGAGTTCTAGGGTGAACTTTTGTGGGGGCAGGGCATGGAGAGGCCTCTACCCACTCAGTACATTTACCAGCTCATTTCTTCCCAGAGCTGCGAAAGTCACGAGGGGAAAACTGAGAATAAGACATCATTTCAGATGCATTTCTTTCTGACAAAGTTGATGTGAGGCAGCAAAGATGCCACTCTGTGTCCCTTGTCCTGGCAGTGACTGCAGGGAAAGCAGTGGTGGCTCGGCAGCACTGAAGGCTTGGCACGTGTCTGTAGGACAGTGTTTTAGTGACCCACATGCTGGCATGATCAGCTCCAGTTATGTTGCAGAGGCTTTGTTCTTGTTTTTGTTTGTTTGCTTGTTTTTGTTTTGTTTTGTTTTGAGACAGGGCTTCTTTGTATAACAGTCCTGGCTGTCCTGGATCTCACTCTGTAGACCAGGCTGACCTTGAACTCACCAAGATCCTCCTGCCTCTGCCTCCCAAGTGCTAGGATTAAAGGCGTGCGCCACCACTGCCCGGCTATGTTTCAGTCATGATCAGCACTTTGTTACCTGAAAATGTGTGCCTTGTTTCTTCTTGTGAATGGTTGTCCATTGGCTCTGGACAGATCTGCAGGCCTTCTCTTAGTCTTACTCTGCATTGAGCCTTTCAAAACTGGGCTTTCCTACTTCCCTGACTGAAAGTCCTCCTTTAGTCAGTTCTACCACCTTCAAAAGAAAAACAAAGTGACTGATAAATGTTTGTAAACCACAGCTTAGCTCATATTTAGAAAACCAAGAAAGTGGGCCAAGGAAAGGATTTAGTGAGTAATGTGCAAGCCTGCCGACCTGAGTTCAAATCCCTGGAACCCACATAAAAAGCCTCATCTATAATCCCAATGTTCCTACAGTAAGATGGGAAGCAGAGTCAGGAGAATCTTCTGGAACCTCACAAGCCAGCTAGCCTGAAGTGTGTAGTGAATTGGCAGAAACAAGAGAGACCCTGCCTCAAAAAAAGGTGGAAGGCAAGAACCAACTCTTGAAAATTGTCCTCTGACCTCCGTGTGGGCAGTGTGTCATGTCCATGCTTATACACACACACTCAAATGATAGAATGTAAGAAGGAAGAGAATGAGCCCACACCCATGCCATGAGTCACTTGTGTGGTAAAGTCCAGCTGGTTTCTTGTTACCACAGGCATGAATTGGCCAACCTCATTATTTGTACACAGCTGGAGTTCATGTATTTGTTATTTCTAACTGTCATTTGCTTTTCAGGGGATCCTTAATGGGTGTTCTCAGGGACTACTTATGGAGAACAGTCTGCCTTTTTAGTAACAAGAGACTTGTGGAATAACCATTACATCTACATATGATTTAACAAGCATTGGGAAAATAAGGGGCCTAATTTAGGACACTGATTTTATTTCATTTATCCCTTATGAGATGCCCTAAAGACTATGAAAACAACATAGGGCATAATCTGGTATCTCTAAAACTTGCCATTTGGATTTCACACAAAATACAAACTACTCCCAGTTGAGCATAATAACTTGAGAGAAATCCAGTAACAATAAATTGATTAATGGGAGGTAAATAAATTGATGAATGGGAGAACACTGTTAATTTGCTTCAGCCAGGTAATATTTGAAAAGAGAAGTAAAGCCACACAAAACTGAAAGACACTTTAATCAGTGTTGTGCTGGCACTGTTGGGATTCTTAGATACCATTCATGTGGCTGCAGCGTGACAATGTACCTGTGGTAGTTGACATTGCCAGGAGCCCTTAACCTGTTTAGCCACTAAGATAGTGATTCATTCTTTAGTTTGCACCAGGTTTGTATGACTGGGTAAATACCTGCTGTCATGTAAACAAAAGCAACACATCACTCACCTTGGAATATACTTGAGGAAAAAAGTTAAATGAAATTTAATGCTGCTTTTGTATCACATTCCCCATTTGAGTACGTGTGTGGGTCCCCCTGCATAGGATCTCACAGTCTTCCTACGCAGGTCTCTAAATTCCATCCTCCTGCCTCTGTCTCCCAAATAACTGCAGTTAGAGGAGCTTACCACTCTGCCAGGCTTAAGTGTATATTTTAATTGAATCTTCTCTTAATGTAAATTAAAACTTAAATCTTAAAATGGCCACTTAACTGGCTTTCAGCATAAAATAACTTTTCTTGAAATATAAAACATCTTTAAATTGTCAAAGACCATATGCCTACTTCCTTCAGGTTCAGGGAAACATTGACTTTTCAAGGGCCAGGGGCCCTTTTGTTGTTGGCAGGGGCACCACTGCAGCCATTGTCGTGGAGAACAGAGATACAGCCTCACCCAGGGAGCCTGCACACTGTTCTAGGCACCAGTGAGAGTCTAACTGATGAGTAGTCTCCAAACACTGGCACGGTAGCCCTGGAACCCACACCAGGCCTTTTGACTCTTGTCAGCAGAGGTGTGGCTGTTGGATGTTTTAGTGTCTAAGAACTGAGTGTTTATAACTAGTCCTGAGGGAGCGAAAGTCAACCAACATTTTTCAGGTTTGTAGGATACAGACATTGGCGGTAGCTGCACTGCTCTCTGGGTGGTTTTGAGGAAGCCCATTACATCCTAGCTCGATGACAGTGACATTGTTAGTAAGGGAGAGAAGGAAAGCTGTGAGTCTGTGGACTAGATGAGTAGAAATTCTGAAGCTGCATGTAACAGAGGTGCAGAGCAATTTTATGTGTATATTTGATTCATAACCAATATGAATTGTCCATCCCCAAATCCATTCGTGAGTCACTAGCTCCCAAGCCTGAAAGCAATTCTCTTCTTTTGAATTAAGAAATAGCAGGGACTTTCTTGAGCAGCAGTGGCTTTCTTGAGCACAGGACAGACTTCCTCACCCCTGTTGCTTTCCAGGTTCTGTACTAAGCAGTTACTGTTTTTTAGAATAGCTTTCCTTAGAAATACAAGGAGAAAACAAAAAGGTGTTAGATGGCTGGAGAACAGGGCACTTAAAGTCTGAATGAGAGTATTTTGACATCAGTATTTAACCTACTTCAGGTATGAATTCTTTAGAGAGAAGTTAGAATTGTAATCAGCTATTTACATTTCTAAGTGAAGCTGTAACATTCTTTTCCTGGTAGGCAGGTTTTATTGAAGTGCTATATTCCATGGAGAAAATTTTGTAGGTATAAACAGCCAGTGGCCCCTTTCCCTCCCATGTTGATAAGTTTGGAAATCTGCAGGCCAGCATTCAGATCTATACCCACAGGCAAATGTCTGCTGCAGCCTCCACAGAGGACAGCCTGCTGGGGCAGAAGCTGCTGGCTCTTCACCAGCCTGTTAGTGTATTGGGGCATCACTTGGGATTCCTGATGTGGCAACATTTGCACACTCTGGTTCTGTCATGAAAAATGGCCCAGCATTCATGGCTTTCCACGCCATCTCTTGGTAGCCTTTAACTGTGACAGAATACTCCCCGAATCACTTGAAGATGACCGTCATTCCTTACAACGTAATGTGTTGCTAGGACTTTCTCATTCCAAGTCTTCTGACTTCATTGCTTTGGAATTGCTTTTCCATAATTTCCAATATTTCACAAACTTTTTTCAGAGAGACAAAAGGATGTGCATCTTTATTTTTTCATATAAAATAACTTCATAAAAATGACTTCCTGCTTACATTATGAAGAAGAAACTGGCTTCCTTGTATGGTATAATACTCCAAAATTAAAAGGTTGTGCATGTCTAAGGGGTTGGGTATATTTTGTAAAACTCTAAATACATTTGTATTTCTGTGCTGTTCAGAAATTAACCTTTTTACTTATACTAAAGATATAGAAAACTATATATTTAAATCATGTAAATGGAACACAATTTAAAGGGATTTCCAATCTTATTTCTCATCAACCTTCTCACACACATAGTTTGCTGCTCAAGTTTGTTTTGTGTGCAATATAAACATTTGAACATTTCAAGTTAGGTACTGAGCCAGAAAAGGTCATTGAAGTTTTCAGAAAACTGTGCTTAGAAAATATTTTATTTTCTTGAAATACTGTTCTTTTATAGCTGGAAAAACAAGATTAAGCATTATGTGTTTCAGTCCACTTGATCATCAGTTTCTAAATTTAGGAAGCATTGATCAATGACTTGGTGAAGGCACTTAGTGGTTGGAAAGTAGTTTCTAAGGAAGTTTAGCACATATTTTATGAGAAATGCCTTCCCTTTCCTCTAGTAGTTTTGTAGTTTGTGCTGGTTCATTTCTGTTGTCATTTGTTTCTTAAAGAATATTCAAGTTATAAATCATGTCTAATCATGCTGAACTGTAGTGATTCTATTGTACCTTTATTTTAAGCAAAACCTGATAATAAAATTATCCTGTTTCTCTTGCACGCTTGCTATTGATCTCCTAGACTTATCTGCCTGTTGTCTATGTGATTTCTGGCCTTCACAGCTGGGCAACAGTGCATTCTTCATTTGTCAAGAAAGCAGCACATAGGTGAACTGAAGGCCTCGCCGCCCATTTAGCCTCCTCCTGACATTGCTTGTGGTGGAACCTCAGCTGTCTAGCTGTGACCTCTGCAGGAAGAGCCCTATAGCATCTATGGAACTCTGAAGGCATGATGTTGCACAAGTACTAAGGAGGTTGGTCATGTAATCTCTTCATGGACAAGGCCAGGGAAGTAGGACACTGCACTAAGGCAGCTCATTTCTCCACTTGGACTCCTAAGCTTCAAACTGTTACACTGAGGGTTCTAAGCACATCTTCTGTGCACCCTGGTCCCATTACAACTGTTGTACAAAGCAAGACCTTTGTGGTACATTGCATGGAATAAGCAGATAATGACCCTTCCCTGGGGACATGTCAGTGATGGTGCAAGGCTAAGTGTTCTTTCATATGACTTGTGAGGGTTTTTGAGATGTTGAGATGACCACTGCTATCTCCTTTTATCCTGGTGACCTGCTCAATCTGAGTCCTTGTCCCCACCCAGGTAAGTGCTGCCTAGTCTTCACTCTGACGGTACAGTAGGAGTTACAGTTATTGAATCTGGTAGCATCTGGAACAGACATGACCTAGGAGTCAGGTCTTTATGAAGGATAATCTAAGTCAGTCCACATAAGGTTGTGGAAGCACACTGACAAAACTGACCTGCCTAGTTTCTCCATCACCAAACCGTCACCCAGCACATATTTGTGCTTTTGTGATCATGGAGTCAGGAGACAGAGAATAGCTTGGGCAAGAAATCAGAAGACTACTCTTGGCTCTTGATCCTGTGAACTGCTGCCGTTGGAGCCACTGACATCCCGACATACCATAAAGTAGGATTCAAATGATTGATTTTAGATTTTAGGGTCTTGCTATCGAAGCTCTCTCTGGCATGTTGCTCTCAATGCCACACATTGAGCAATTCTGCCTCACCCCCCTGGGTACTGGGATAACAGGCATGCATCACCACACTGGGCTATAGGACTCGAGGGGTTTTTGTTTTGTTGTATATGTATGGGTGTTATGTCTGTATGTATGTCTGGGTAACACATGCATACCTGGTGCATGCAGAAGCCAGAAGACGGCATTGGATCCCCTGGAACTGGAGTTATAGATGGTTAGATGGTTGTAAATCACCATATAAGTGCTGGGAACCAAACTCAGGTCTTCTGGAAGAGCAGCAAGTACTGTCAACCACTAGCCATCTCTCCAGCCCTTTTTATCTTGGTTTTCAAAAGATCAGAGTGTCATCTCTTACAGATACCATCCTGCTGGTATGGCTTTGCCACTGTTTATCCACCCAGCTGTAGACTTGGAGTTGTTTCCATGTGGGGCCTACAGGGCACAGCAGAGCTGTTCTGCGTGGCCTCTCTGCCTGTACACTTCTCTAGGGCATGAATGCAAGAATTCCGGGGTCCTGAAAAGACTCATGTCTTCATCTTGAGTTGGTGCTATCTCATTCTCCTACCCCCAGAGTGTTTGGATTCCCATTATCTCCTGTTGTTACCAATATCAGTACTACCAGACTTAAACTTTGGCCAGTCTGATGGGTATCTCTAGTCTTATGTGCATTTTTCTGAATGTGGATAAAGTTTGGAGTCATTTCATTTCTCCTTCTGGAAAAATGCATGTTGACACACCTCTAATCCCAGCACTCAGGAGGCAGAGCTAGGCAGATCTCTGAGTTCAAGCCTGGCCTACAGAGTGAGTTCCAGGAAAGCCAGGGCTACACAGAGAAACCCTATCTCAAACCATAAAAGCAGAATGCCCATTGTCTTATGCTCTCTCACACAGACACAGCTACATGCATGCTTGAGAGCACACGCTCTATCTTAGGCTGTGCTGCTATAACAAAATACCCAAAATGGTAAATATAAAGGATAGGAAGTTACTTCTCATCATCCTAGATGACAATATTCCAAGATTAAGTTGCCACTAGGTTCATTGTCTTGATAGCCTCTTCTTCCAAGATGCCGTCTGTTTTAGTTAGGGTTTCTCTTGCTGGACTTGAACTCTGGCAGCCCTGCGTTCTGAGTGCTGGGATTGAAGATGTGCACCACCACACCTGGCCCTATGCTTTTTAATTCCTTTTCACTTTCCTTTAAGTCTTTTTCAAAAGTTAGAGGTTTAGCTGGGTGGGGTCTTGCTCCGAGGTCACCACTCCCTTTATTCCACTTAGCATCAGGCTTTTCTTTAGTCTGTTTATACTCCCTGGTACTCTTTTTCTCTTCCAATTGTACATTTTGTATTTTTCCTCGCTCACCTTGCTCTTTTTCATTATAGATCTGTATAAGATTGGCCACTAATAGCCACACAGCACAGTCAATCCTAGGTTATTTGGAACTATCTTCTGCCAAAGCTGTTAATCTGTGACTCTTCAGTTTATCCTGTTAGATATTTTAAGACAAGGGAAGAAAGCAGCCACATTCTTCACCAAAATATCGCAAGAATTATCTCCAGGTCACATTAATATTCTTCTCTCAAACCTCTTGAGCTGGGCCCCCACAGTTCAAATCACCCCCCATACCACTGTCTCCCATCCCCCTACTACTATGGCCCATTGAGACCAAGACTTAAAACATTCAACTGCTTTTCTAATCCAAAATCCTAATGTGTTCCATATTCTTCCAAACAAAATCATGGTCTAACATATCACAGCAATACCCCAGTCCCTAGTACCAACTTCTTTCTTAGGGTTTCTATTGCTATGAAGAGACACTACAACACAACAGCTCTTATAAAGGAAAACATTTAACTGGAGCTGGCTTACAGTTCAGAGATCTTGTCCATTGTCATGGTAGGAAGCATTATGGCATGCAGGCAGACAAGGTGCCGAAGAGATAAATAAGAGTTCTATATCTGGATTGGCAGGCAACAGGAGGAAAGAAAGACACTGAGCCTGGCTTGGGCATCTGAAACCTCAAAGCCCACCCTCAGTGACACATTTCCTCCAACAAAGCCACACCTCTAATAATGCCACTCCCTATGAGTCTATGGGGGTCATTTTCAAACTATCACAGCATCTTACTGCACCCTCCTCTAGAGCAGTGATTCTCAACCGTACTAATGCTGCCACACTTTTAATAGAGTTCCTCATGTTGTGGTGACCCCCAACCATAAAATTATTTTTGTTGCTACTTCATAACTGTAATTTTGCTACTGTTATGATTCATAATGTTATGAATCTGATATGCAGGATATCTGATATGTGACCCCTGTGAAAGGGTCACTTAACTTCCAAAGGGTTATGAACCCTTGCTCTAAATGAGTGGTATCCTCACAATATTGAAGAACACAGAAGGGATTTTAAAATAGTTCTTTAAAAAATGTAAAGATGTAAGCTTCCTCTGCCATGCTTTTTGTAAGAGCACCTAGCCCTATTCATGAGAACTGTGCCTAATGACCAAACAGTTAATACTATTTCATTGGGGATTTGCTTTCAACATGAATATTAAAGGGAACAAAGTATTTCAAACTGTGGCACACGTCAGTATGTGTGTTCTGCATATGATTTCTTTGTCATTTTCTGTTTTCCTGTGATTCATTCTTCATGATGCCTTAGTGACTGGAGTTGTTGTTGTTGTTGTTTGGGGTTTTTTTCAAGACAGGGTTTCTCTGTGTAGTTTTGGTCCTGTCCTGGATCTCACTCTGTAAACCAGGCTGGCCCTGAACTTGCAGAGGTCCACCTGGCTCTGCCTCCTAAGTGCTGGGATTAAAGGCGTGTGCCACCACCACCCAGCTTCTTTTCTTTTTAAGTATATGTATATTGAGGGGTGGGTGTTCATAGTGTCATGCCCATGGAGGCCAGAAGAGGGAATCCAATCCACCAGAGCTGGAGTTACAGGTGCTTGTGAACCACCTGAAGTGGATGCTGAGAATTGAACTCTGATCAAGTAGTATGTACTCAAAACCACTGAGCCTTCTCTCCAGCTCATGAATAGAGTTCTTAATCTAGTCAAATTCACATTCTTAATTTAGAGGTTTTTGTATTCTATTTAAGAAATCCTTTACCCCCAAAATCATGAAAATACAATGTTATAGAATTATTTAGTCTTGCCTTTCACATTCAGGACTACCTGGCATTTCTTTAGAGATGTGTGAATTCAAGATGTCCTACAAGGATAGTGTATCTTTCTGTTTCTTATATCTCACAAGTAAGAGCTCTTGTGAAGCTAATTTCTCATCACTGTACATTCATGCAAAACTATGAGAGGAACATAGGATCAGAGTAAAAGCGAACCTTTAGTAAAATAATGAATTTACAGTAGTAATTAAATATTAGCTAAGAGTTCTCTTTTAACTTATCCATATTCTTATTTTGTTTCAGGTCTTGGAAAAGTATTACTCAGCACCACTTCATAGAGATGGATGAAGGGACCTTGTTTGGGTACTCTGATTGGCTGATGTCCTCAAAGTCAAATAGTCACACAAATGTCCAGTGTTACCAAACTGTCCTGAGCAGCCACAAACTTTAAGGACCTTTTAACTGTACCAGAGAATCAATTTTCTCCCAGGAACCTGATGTTTACAGTCTGTGGTCACTTGAAAATCACTGTTAACATAACCTGAGTTCCTCATGCTGCATATTAAGTTCTACCTGTTCTGAAGTATTTGAGTATTTGCTGTGTGTCATGCATATTGCATGATAACATACACTATTCCTGTTATGCCCAAGTAAAAAAACCCCCAAAAAACAACAAAGAAGCCCAAACCGGAAGGAAAAACAAAAAACCCTTAATTCAAACCCAAACCTGGAACCCCCAACTGGCCAAAAAAACAAGGAAAACCCAAAACAACCAACCCGGGCAAGGAAGGGTTTTAAATAAAAGAAAAGGTGGGGAGGAAGTAATTTCCAGGGTTCAGGATCCTGATTGGCTAACATTTGTATAGGGATGTCTTGGCAAA